TACTTCGTAGAAGCGTTCCACTACAATCTAATCAGAATGTGCATGTAACTTTTCTTGACTCAGTGGGTTGTGGTGTTCTTCTTACTGGAGCCTCGCACGAATTTATCTAGCTTCTGGTGGGATTTATTATCCTAAAGGTTTCTTTGTGAGATGCTTCACCATTATAATGAAATACCTCTTCGTAAACAACTAGTGTCAACAATAGATGTGATAAACAAGATGTTAAAATTCAGTTTCAGATACATAATCTTTAAAATGAAAACTTCTTTTGTTCCATCATCTCTTCTGAAACAAATTGTAACTAAATAATTCACACTATTTGAAATCTCCTTCAAGGAGAACGCAAAGCGCCAGTTACGAAAATGGCCGTAACGGGCGTCCTTACGGATATTTTGCCTCTTTTAGACATGCCAGCTTATGGCAACTACAAATCAGCATTGGAAAAAACGATAACTTGTGTATTAAATTATTGCAAAAGTGGGGCCTGTGCTGGTACATAGTTTATTTTATTAATCTTATGAATTAGAGCATTTAAGAATGTTCTTCTTAAACGAACATATCAACCAATTATTTGTCCTCGCTATAAAAGACTGTAGTATTACAGACAACCCTTCCTACCCAAAGATACCTGTGCTTCTAACTCCTCCACCATCACCTGGCATTCGTTCATTGTTATGCTCCCCATGTGGACAGTTCTTAGCCCTGATATCTGAAACTTGTGTGTATGTTATGGATGCACAATTCAGCTCGAAAGAATTTTGTCAGGTAATACCTTTTCCATACTTTTCCAGCTTAACTGCCTCGTTTCTGTATTCAAAATAATTAGTAATAGATTCCTAGTAGCTGCATAGGAGTATTCGAGCAAGAAAGAAACAAATCATTATATTCGGGAAGTAGAAATTGGCTACAAGGAGGCTCCATTAACTGACTCATTGGAAGCTTGTTTACTGCTTGTACACTTCGGAAATCCTCGTAATTCCCTCCTTGATCTATTTTATTGATCCTGCCATAGCTAACAAACACCCACACTATCGATTAAATAAAAAAAAACTCAATAAATATTAAATAAAAGTATTGAGCTCATCATATTTTGATCCAACACCCGGGTTTAAAAAACTGATTCTTAGCAGCAGATAATAAACCCACCTGCTTTATTCACCGGGAGGTTAGTGGATTAGAACTTTCGCTCGTTGGTTCAGAATTAAATTATAAGGTTACTGAATCTGACTATTATCCATAAAGAGTTTTTTTAATATAGAAGTAAACGTTCACTTTAGACGTAATTGGCAATGATAGTGATTGTTTCTGACTACCGTTCAGAAGCTATGAACTCACTACCTTGTCTGGCGAAATATCTCACGAAATATTGTATTAACTTAGATATTCGGTTTTGGTAGTTGAATTTTATGATAAAGGAGTTTTATCCTGTTATGGTTATGAATATTCCTAATTAAGATCGAAGTTTGAGAGTAAATGTCTCATTTACTTTTTCGAAGCGTCATAGTTGTTGTTGCGGATCAGATGATCTAATTCAATAATTCTAAACCTTGGTTATAATCTTCATAACTAAGGTTTATCGTTATACAACTGAACAAAATTTTCATGCTAGAACGCTGTCTAGACTTAATGTTGCGAATACGAATCGTCAAGAGAAAAGGACTGCTTCAAGAATTCAATTATATAGTAAACTGTTTTCAAAATACGTTAAATACATGTTAATCTTAAAATGCAGTCCGTCTTAGATGCAAAGAGCTGTAGATTATTTCGTTCTGGTACTTATTACAATTACTGTAGTTAAACATAAAATGTACATATATTTCTGCGTGTTCATGGCCATTAGGAATCATATAAGCAGTAAATTTTTATGAAGGGTTTAGTCTAATCATGTCACTAGTATGGGATTGTTTGCTTCCAACCATGTACAAATTTATGTATAGTACTTTTAAATGTCATTTCTTGTTAGCTGGTAGCATCTTTAATCACACTTACTAAACAGTTTCCTTTTACCAATGAGAATGGTTTATTTATTCTTGATTGCAGAATTCCAGACAGAAGTCAATCTTTCACTCCAGATCACTATCTGTAGTGTTATGCTACTTATAACTCAGTAGCCTATCTTTATAGCTTGGAAAACAGTTTTTAGATACGTCATTTTAACACCGACAACTGAAAACCAATAAACAACATTGAAACACTAGGGTGTTTGTTTTGTCGCCTAATTTTTCAAGTGAAAAACGCTGTTGACATCTATTAAGACTCGTTTGTGTACCCAAGCTTTATGAGATTTCTAAGTAGGGTATTTGTCTCTAGCAATGAGACAAAACTTTTACTGACGAGAACGTACTTATAGAATTAAAAATCAATATATTTCATCTTTCATCCTAGTGGTGGAGATTGGTTCTCTGAGGTGGATATTGTGGTTTTGGAGCTTCCACTTTCTTCTGAATAACATCAGCACAAGCTTCAAACAGAAGTGAAGTGTTCAAGTTTCTTCAAGTTGGACCCGTATCTTGTTCTGTTAACCTCGATCTTGATTAGTTGTTACTAACCTTAAACCTGTCGTTGTTTACACCTTTATTTTGATTCTATCCCCCTTTGATTTTTCGTCGTCCCTATTTTACTACTTTTCTAGGATCAAATTGTTCGTGCAATATACTGTGCCATTGATCTTCGAGATCGTTCCTCCAAATCTAAATTGAACGATGTTATAATAAAGGTGCAATGGCATCCAAAATCTAACAGAACATTGGTTATTGTAACTGAAAATTCTCTAATATATTATATTCATTGTGTCAATTCATCAAAAAATCAAAGCATCCGATTTAACTTATGGCTCGAAGCAGATCTCTCACTATTTACTCATAGCGCTCTCGATGCTACTTACCAAGATATGGATAACTCGGATGAGAGTTCTTGCAATGAAACCGATGATAACAGTTCATCACTGTCTAACAGGAGAATGAATCTCAGTTTCGCTTTAGGCAGCAAGTGTGTTGACTTCGATTTCGGTTCCCCATTATTTACATCAAAACGTGGTTTGTCGGAAGCTCAGTTACAAGATTGTTGTTTGTTTCTTCTTTATGAAACAGGTAAGAAAGTTCAGTGTTTTGGCAGTTCGTATCACGTTTTCCCCTATACGTCAGATTCTGGCTTTTCAGTTTTCGAAACCGGGTCTAAATAATTCTCAAGACGTATCACATTTTAAGTATATAGCCGTGACTTGTACACTTAGATTTCAACAACTAGTCATCGTTATTAGTTGACAAAAACTTTGATCCTAAATTTTCACTGATCGGTTTACCAAGTATTCAGCGTAAAATTTGATGATACCTTTAGTAGTTATCGTGTTGTTTTTTAAACCCATCCACCAATCCAGCATAGTGTCTTGGGATTTAACGACATATATTGTCGTAACTAGACTTTATGTAAATCAATTGTAAGCCTTGTTATGATGTTCAGTACTTTCCCAACAATATTACATTACTTCATTGTATATATAATAAAATGAGATAATTACTAAAAGACCAATCGAAAATTACTAAGTAGATAGACTGCTCATATTCAATGTAGGACCTGGCGCAAATATGGATTAGTCAGAGAACAGATCTTACTCGTGAAAAGTCGCCAGGTAATGTTTGGGCTATTAGTCTTTGGAGACTCTTCATGTCAATTCCGTATAATTATTTTTATTGACTATTCAGTTTTTATTGCCCATTCCATAAGTCTTTACTAGACTATGTAATTGAGTATTAAACAACAAAAGAGCTGGCATCTACTATTCAAACGACTTTTTTAAAACGTTTTATCTATCACCACCATTGAAGACACTGCATACTTAACCATCCACCATTGATATGAGTATACTTCTCGTATTTCTATCCTTCATTGTTTACAAATTATTAAGAAAAATTCCCGATTGAGTAACTAAAGTTTGAATACCTTTCGTTTTCTTTTAGCGTCGTATTTAAAACCTTTTTCCAGTCAATCATAGTAGCTGCCAGGACTCGTGCGTATTTTATTGTTTGCTATCTAGAATATGCTGAATAGGTTAATAAGCTTTTTGAGTTAAAAAAAAAACAGAACTCTTATTTAATTCACATAAAAACAGGTACAACTAAACACCAGAAATTATTATCCTCCACGTAAAATAAATTTACGGGCTAGGATACTACTGTAACACCCGGATCGAAGCGAATGCTTTTCTTAGGGAGCAGCTCCCTGAGCCTTTGACTCATAGATCTAATCCACAAGGAGATGGAGCAATGTCAGAGGATACAGTCCCATGGTAGCCAGTGTCAAACAATAGGTTCACATGCCATTCGTTCCTTCAGGGTCCTGTGGCCCATGTGCGCCAATGGTTTTGGGTCCGGGGGTTTTCCAACTCCGTACACACTAACCCGGTTTAAACACTGGACACTCTCTCTTAATCCTCTCTATTTGTTAAACAACCCCTTCGCTGCATGAAAGTAGTGAGCAGAACTTTCCTGACGTAGACTGTAAACTCATCATCGCATGAGAGCATTTCGATAAAAGAAACGGCTCTCCCCCATTGGCCATATCAGAGTATTTAGGAGTAAGTTAGATATTTTTAATTTAGTTAACTATTTTGAGCTTAACGTCATAGTTTCTCTTGATTTATCAATTTATTTTTGGTATTTCGTAATGAATGTAGATGTGATTTGGACACCAACAATAATCTAATTCCATATTCAAGTGTAATTTTTATTTCTTTCAGTAATTTCTTCAGCTTTTGTTGATTACTGATGCACACCTCCACTTTTTTTACTACTTTTCTCTTTTTCTTCTACTGATTTTATTTTTCATTATGCCGAAAGTACATATATCTCAACTTTGTCCTGTCATTCTAACAAAAACTTTCTGATATACTTGTCAATGGAATTTACACTCCTCAAAAAGTGCCCTTAAAGTGTTTAGCAAAACATGCAAATTAAAATCTAGGCTAAAAAATCAAGTCACGCTAGATAATTCTCTATATTCTCTTGAAATTTGCTTTATTTAAACAAATAATGACACTGAAATTTTTATTAATATGTATAGGTGACGTTATTCAAGTGTGTGGATGCTTATCAGTTCGTAAAGTGAATCAGCTAAAATGTAGTGTTTTGCACATCTTGCCACCGTCAATTGATAATTATGGAGACGAATTCTGTGCCATTCATTGTATACGTCCTGTTGATATTACAGAGGTGTTTTCTTTTGAAAAACCTCCTGATATATTAGTGTTAGCTGATAAAACTGGTCGTTTGCATAATGGTATTGTTCTGCGAACTAATTTACCTGGACAAAATAGAAACAGTGAGTTTATTTTGTTAAAGTTTTAGTCATGTTGATGGCGGGGGGAGGACATGTATGAAGTTTTTTCACTGTCTTAATATACTTCTAGCTTGAATTTATTTACAAGTGAATGTTTCTGTGTATCACTTTGGAATTCAATATCTTTTTTTTTTAAATCATTAGGTAGTAAGTAGTAAAGTGATCCTATATTTTTTCATGAGTACTTATAAGAACAATTTTAACTTGATCAAATGTAACTTAATGATGTGTGAAAAAATAATGAGTTGATACAGTTATAGAAGATAGATTAGTGTTGATCTTGGAGACCTGGGAGCGTGACCGCAGAGTCCAAGGGACAACTGCTTGAGGCCGGTCACGAACGGCCTTTTTATGAAAGGTATTTTGAGGATTAGCTCCGTTCTTAAAGGCCCTCAGTGGGCACCCTTACCCAAGGAGACGGAAATCCGTGAGGTAGGGGAGGTGTGACATTTTTAGGGCCGACCTTTTCTAACCCTTCCTTCCTTGTGAGAAGGCAGCATCGCTGCAGATGCTGGTTGTCCGAGGGAAACACCTTACTGCTGTCACATCCTTCTGTAGTCAGCAGTACGACTTCGCCCTCAGACCTGGGGTGAAAACACTGACAAAACGCAGAGTCTTCTGACCACCCTAAGCAACTATGCAAGCAGGTTCGGGATGCGGTTTTCCCCCTCGAAATGCAAAATGTTGCTTCAAGATTGGGTTTCATCGGCACCTGAACTAGTCATAGGGAGTGAAGTAGTCGAACGTGTAGACCGCTGCACTTATCTTGGGAGTCTCATCAGTGCCGATGGCCTGGTGACTGACGAAATCTCAGCACGGATACAGAAGGCTAGATTGGCTTTTGCCAACCTGCATCACTTATGGCGTAGGCGAGACATCCGTTTGCTGACTAAAGAACCAGTGTACTGTGCAGTGGTTCGCTCCGTCTTACTTTATGGCTGTGAAACATGGCCAGTGAGAGTAGAAGATATTCGTAGGTTACTGGTTTTCGATCATAGGTGTCTTCGAAGCATTTGCTCGTATATCGTGGGACACCCGAGTGAGCAACGCTGTTATTAGGAATCGGGTGCTAGGTAAGAATGTCAGATCAATAGACGCAGTAGTGACACTTCATCAGTTGAGGTGGTTGGGACATGTGTTGCGTATGCCTAACCACCGACTGCCTCGTCGAGCTTTGTTTTGTAGTGTAGGAATAGGTTGGAAGAAAGTTAGGTGCGGCCAAACCAAAACATGGCAGAAATCCATGAAGTCATTGACTAGTGGACTTAGCCATGTCGGTAATTGTCGACTACCTGGTTGGGGTCCGCGAGATGATAATAATCGATGGTTAGAGACCTTGAATGACATGGCTCAAAATCGTTCGCAATGGCGCGGGTGCATTTATTCTTTGTGTTCTCTCAAATCCTAATCTTCTGGGTTCTTCATCAACTCTAGTTTGGACTTTCTAACCTCTTCTACTATTGGATTTGAATTGACAATTATATCTCTGTGCTGATGTGGTATGGCGACATGAACTGATGTACTTATGTACGAAGTTCTACGTTGCATCTGACTGACTGACTGATACAGTTATGACTGATTTATTTTTAGGGAATAATCTAATTCCACTTCATTCATGAATTAAAAATCTTACTGTTAAATGAGTAGGACGCTTAAAAATATTTCCCATATTATTTATTTATTTATGTTGTTGTTGTTGTATATTACTAAGTTTATTTAGCTTATGCTTTTAATATGTTAGCATCTATTTTATTTGAATGAATTACTGGAATTATTGATCGTTATAACAGAATAGAATAATGTGAAATTTTTAAAAATATTGAAATGATTCTGATCGATGTAATTGTTAATGACTTGGTGGAGGGAGTTAAAATCAGAAAACCATTAAAATTCAATTGATTAGAAGATAAATTTCATGAAAGATATATAATTCCCTGAAGTAGTTGACTCATTCATTCCATCACCTAACTCAACTAACAGCACATGACTCAGTGGAAAAAACGAAGTTATCATACCGTGAAATCATTAATTCGTTACTTGCCGGTCTAGGCCGCGTCAATGGATCCAGATATCTTGATCGATAAAGTCATCACGAACCGAAGTGGGTTAGTTTTTTCACAATTCCATTCAGTCGTTATCTTACTCTGAATCTTAAGTTGTAATATTATTCCACACTTTTTCAATTTCAGATTTTGTATGTTCAGCTTAACTACTATCAGTACTCTTATTTCCTATTTTTTCATTTTCGTTTGAGCTAATTTCCTCTTGCCATGCTAATATAATGTATGCGACCACTTAAACCAATACTTGGATGTTTTTCTTAACACAGCAGTCAGTCAGTCAGTCAGATGCAACGTAGAACTTGGTACGTAAGTACATCAGTTCATGTTGCCATACCACATCAGCACAGAGATATAATTGTCAATTCAAATCCAATAGTAGTAGAGGTAGTAAGGAAATCGGAGAGGTTAGGGTTAGAAGATACTATTCAAGAAGTATGATTCAGTGAGAAAAGTTTAGAGAGTCGAAACTAGAGGTGTTGAAGAATCCAGAAGATTAGGATTTGAGAGAACACAAAGAATAAATGCACCGGCGCCATTGCGAACGATTTTGAGCCATGTCATTCAAGGTCTCTAACCATCGATTATTATCATCTCGCGGACCCCAACCAGGTAGTCGACAATTACCGACATGGCTCAGTCCACTTGTCAATGACTTCATGGATTTCTGCCATGTTTTGGTTTGGCCGCCCCTAACTTTCTTCCAACCTACTCCTACACTACAAAACAAAGTTCGTCGAGGCAGTCGGTGGTTAGCCATACGCAAGACATGTCCCAACCACCTCAACTGATGAAGTTTCACCACTTCATCGATTGATCTGCCATCCTTGCCTAGTACTCGTTTCCTAACGACAGCATTGCTTACTCGGTTGTCCCACGGTATACGAGCAATGCTTTGAAGACACCTATGATCGAAAACCAGTAACCTACGAATATCTTCTACTCTCACTGGCCATGTTTCACAGCCATATAGGAGAACGGAGCCTTAACACAGCATACATTGCTTTATTTGTTTTATTGTGAAAATGTTCTAAAAATTTATTTCATAAATATGTTATAGCTTTAATAAGTTATCAAATTTGTAAACTTTGTTGAAAAAGAAAATGTTTTTTTTCAAATAAAAAATCCTTCAGAAAATCAAATGATCAACCCTTCCGTTTTACTCTGCCTCATTGATATTGTGGATCTTGATCTAATATCTAGTAATAAAGCAGTAGTTTATCAACGAAATAAATTATCTAATGAAGTTAATAATATGCAACAATATCATTCAAACAATAGTATACTCCATTCATCAAATTATTTTGAATACAATCATTCTGACTTTCCATCAATATCATTAGAACCGGCTAATTTAAACTTTTTAAATAATATTGAATACAGCAGTTATTCGACAGATGGTACAGATTTTGTAAAAAATAGAATTTTTGGCATGAAATATTCACATCAAGGTTATTATGTCATTCATCATATGGGTATTCATCTTGTTAGCTTACCATGGATTGATAATCTTTCATTATGGTGTAGTGAATTCAATAATCAATTATTGGATGATTCTAACAAGTCTACAATTGAAGGTAATAATTATCACATACACAGTATTAAATATTATAGATTTATTTTACTGATAACAATTTTGTTTATATGATAGGACTTATCAGTTAATTCAGCTTACGTCATTAACTGTTGTTAACCCAACGCTCGCTTCTGGCTGGTTTAAAAGTAAATTAGAAACTATCAGCTAGAGGATGTGGAATAAATTCATAAAATGACTGACGGTTGGTTTGCTTTTTGATTGTCAAAATTCATTTGAACATAATATTGTGTTTACTTTCACTCTAAAATATATCTGAAACCTAATATACATCTTGTGCATTAGTTTCTCTTCGGACTCCTTTCTTCAAATGTAGTAAGTACTTCAGAATGAATAAATGCTTATCACTAAAATCAGAGATCAAGTATATTGTTTTACAAATTGAATGGATATGGGAAATTTCGGGGACGTTAGATCCCCATAACTCACTTGATAAAGGTTCTAATTTTGGATTTTATGCTTTTCACGTATTGGCTGATCAGTTGACCTTGAGATTACATATCCCAATCGGAGAATCCTTGACTGTTGTTTGTTGATGTGTTATTTTAGTTTGCTATTTTTGTGACTCTCACAAGGACATTTCTATGATGTATAAATAAACTTGGTTTGTGTGCTTGTGAACCTCGATTTTCTGGGTGCTTGTAGAATACACTCTCTACTCTATATCAAGACTTCTTCTTTTACGTAAGGGGGCTTTGGGACGCTCGGATTAAAGTAGCCTATCGTGTCACTGGATCATTTGTCTTCGCTCTCGTTTACTGACTAAGGTGAACTCGTAATAGTTTCAAGCATATCAATTGACGAGCATAACAGAAAAACATCACTTAGTAAACTTTAAATTAGCTGTAGTATACTTATCATAATACTGAAAGTTTATTCATCTGAGTCTTCTCATAGAACACGAAAAAAGTTGTATGATAGTTTTTGGTGTTCAGTAAGTTTTTCAAGCATTAGAGGTTTGCAAATAAAATCAACATGCAATGATATGGTATCATACAAACCTACAATCTGATTGAAAGTCATCATTTACTGACAGATTTTCATTTGCTAGCATTTAAATGTATCAGTGTGCAGAGCGAGCAGGTTTTGTTTGTGATTTTGACTTTACGATTATGCATTAAGCCTTCTCTATTAGTTTGTTTTCGTTGGGTAACTTTTAATTTCCTTATTTGTTTATTTATTTCAGGGATTCGAGATTGGCAGTCATGTGTGAAACATCTTGCCTGTGGTCAAATTACTGTCTCCACTCCTGATGGAATTAATGACGATGTGGAAGGAAAGTTTAGACTAGCTGGATTCATCGAATTGTCAAGTAACGTTTTATTGACAAGTCAACCAAAATCCAAAACTACAACTGATTCTCGATCAACTAAAGGTGTCACACTTATGTTTATTCGTGCACCTATTCAACCAATTAATTCAACTGTTAGTGCAATTGATTATTCATCTCTAATTCACTTCATCAATCTAACACGGAAACCTGAAACTTATATGATGAAACAAGAACATTATACTGGGTCAGATTCAAAGTTAGACAACTTATTTTATCTTTATACTCATATGAAAATTGTATTAAATAAGTGTCGATAAAAATAAATGTTATTGAATATTTCAGTTTTAAGGATGATTACACTTGTCGCAGCAATATAATTTATTCGTTACATCCACAACTGACAGCAAATCTATTAAGAGGCAATCGGTTGAATGTTTGATATAACTTGAAATCGCCTTTTAGTTTACCACAGATCTGTAACACTTATTTCCTAAACAGAAGGTAGAAAAGTATTAAAGGGGGCTTTACTTCCAAATTCATTTTACGTACAGAATCTAGAATAATTGTAGGTTTGTGTATAACCGTGATATCATGGGATCTCCTGGTAAGAAATCGGTAATTAGAATATGACATAATCCATCACTTCTCTAGGTCTCTTTGGGACGTTCCCAATGACCAGTGATTAAACGAAGTATTTCCAACCTTTTACTCGTTCCTAAATACAGATTCAGAACATCTAATAGTCTTTTGAAAAGCATGGTTTTTCTTTGATTCTTATCTTAGTATGGTACGGATTTGTTTTTCACGGTCAAATTTTTATTCATGTTGTACACAGTGAAAATGGACACTGTTTTCTGATCGTTACCTTGATTGAAATACTATCATGCAGTTGGTACTCGACATATTAAAATACTGACTCAACAACTATTTATTATGCCTTAAAAATAAATTGATTCTACACTTAGTTATGATGCTGATCTGTATAATTAGACTCCATAAAAAAAATGAAAATTCGTGTATTCAGCGATTTTTGATAAACTTAAATTTTTGAATGGTTTATCGATAAAAACAGAGTAACAAAACATTCACATATAAATATGAGTGATTTTACAGTTTCAAATATCAGTCAAACTATGTCAGAATATGATTGTACGTCACGATGAAAAATTCAGTATTCAGAAAGCATTATTTAAATTATGTGTTCTTTTTTAATTTCGGTTTAAATAATAATGCAATTACCTGGAAGAATAGATGAAGGTGAAGCTGTTGTTTTTGTACTGATTCTATAATCCTGGTAAATGAATTCGTTCTTACCTGATGGCTTGCATGTATGCTTCATTTATGAAGTATACGTTTATGTTTTGGGCTTTCAGTCACACTTCTTATGAGGGCCATTGGTACTATACCACCTAAGTGCTGATATTGAGGAAGATCAGACGGAGTTTGATTGTGAAATCTAATTGTCGAAAGCCACATACTTTAACCAGAGGCCCGTCGTTCCACTCTCCCATATCTTATTATGTATGTAACATCATTCTGATGTGAATTTTTTGGGACTTGTTTTATCATAGACGAGGAAAACGCGGTATTCATTTGAAATCTTCAGCATTTTCTACCGATACTCACTTCCCATTAATCAAGAATAAACTTTACGAGTTATTTTTATGTGTTTGATTTGCATTTCTTTCTTTCTTGTGACATGGTATGGTGTACAATATGAAGTGATACATTCTTTTATCTTAACCTTTTTTGTCTTTTTGTATCTCAGAACTACTAACCAGCATGATTCCTCTAATTCAACTCTCCGTTCACATTTTACATCTCAAATAAAACAAATTCTGTCGGAAGATGATTCACATTTTCCATTAATAACAGGATTGAACTTACAAGATAATCTTACTCAGCAACAGTTAGTTCAGTTTTTTATTAAGGTAAAGTGTGAATCTTATAATGTAACTGTTAAATATCGGTCAATACTCATTGTAGTTGCATTAATGTTGAAATCACAGCTTATTGTTTTGTTGTGTGCTACCTTTGAAATGTTTATGAATTCAAGTTGTCTGGTTGACATTTTTATATGTAATGGTTAAAGCAGAATATTATAGTCCAAACAGATGCCTACCACCTTTGTTCGAACCCTACTCTGCCTGTTTCGGTTTAAGCACCCAGTCAGTATGATTACCCTTCATACCTTAAGTGTAACCTGCACTCCAATACCTGATAAATGTGTCAGTTATTGGTTTCAGTTCATTGTTTAGTTTCAAAGCCTTATGGTTTCTACCTGCTCAGTAGAAAGTGGTAATCATAACTTTAATCTCATCATAAAAATGCTGTCATGCTTAAAATGTTGATCAACTAACCATAGTTATCATTATGTATTTTGCTTTGTGTTAGGTTTCCGACATACTGCGCAAAGGACCTCTAGATCGTTTAATGAAAGCCCGCTCAATTATTGAGCATCATTCTAGACGACTGCAAGATATTATTTCAGCTCAAAATTCCGAAGCGATAAAGCTAACGTCCGAACGTCAAACTTTACAGTCTAAAGCTGAGGAATTAGCAAAACGTCAGTCTGTAGTCACCGAGCGTCAGAGTACATTAGATAAACGTTTGGCCAACTTAACAAGTCGTTTAGCCGGTAAGTGATATTGCTATAATTTTCGAAACGAGATATGAGAATATGTTGCTTAAGTTTACATCTATTTACTACTGTGGAAACTGAATACAGTAATTTTCAGACACTCCTATTAAGTCATTTAGTTGTAAACAACGTAGGATTTCTCATAGGTATTCATCAACTCAAATTGTTACACTTTACTGGTTCCAACTAGGTATTTAGCATCTACCAACATGGTTCATGCTGAGTAACTTTAGGGCTTAATTGCACTTCGTCTATCCTCAGTTATTTGTCTTGCAATCTGCCCCCACACAAACCAACCATTTCTAATGGAAGAATTACCTTAAGTGGTCTTATATGAAATCATAAGGTCACTGAAACGCTAAGATCTTTGAGTTTTCATAGTAAAATTCTTTCACACTCATTTAGGGAGATCTCTAACTGTTCAACAAATGGATTGAATATAAATAGGGATATGATATCGTTGATTTTAGAGATATTTCTGGTTATTATTCGTCATCATCCAGAGAATTCGTCATGCAATAATTTACAAAGATGTTACTGCATAACTCATATTGAAATTTACTCTAGTAAATAACTGTGTCTGGTCAGATGTAGTGTTTTATAGTTCTGATGTAAAGACATCCTATTTTTTTCTGATAAGATTATTTCTATGCTCGTTAATTCCAAAACCTATAGTGAATAAAGTCATTCAGAACTCAGATAGCATTATTTCTAAACGCATATTTAACTTATTCATTAACTGGCCCACTAATTTTTTTATTTGGTTTGATCCATGAAACGAGACTGATGTTAATTAATTAAAGTTTCAAGTAATGAAATGCACAAGTGTTTTATTATTATACATCATTTTATGTAGGAACTCTCACAACTGCTGCCGTAAATGTATGGCTTAGCTGTAAAGGTTCTTTAAACTCTGAAAGAGTAAATAACTGCTTGATTTTCTGCCAAAACAAAGGAGAGTAATCATAAGTTGAAATAATAGTCCATTCGAATCAGTTTATCCTACTTATTTTCCATTCCAGCAAATATTTCTATACAATTAAATTACACTTCAGTTATTTATAGTGTTTTATCCCGTAAATCTCTATCATTACTTTCCACTAATATGATTCGAATCTATTTATATCTTTAGCTTTAGGCGAAGGTCCTACCAAAGCTGAAATCGCTATGCATAGTGAAGTTATCGCAATCCGTGATCGCCTGCACAAAGGCCTAAGGCAATGGTTGGCAAATCTTCAAAATCGTCGTGACAAATTGGAAAGACAAATATTGTTGCGTAAAAAAACAGACAAGTCGTCTGTTCGTAACTCCCTTCCTGGCCCTTCTAAAACTGCCGAAAATGTTGAAGAGAATCAGTGGCAGACAGTATCAGAAGAACTTCGCAAGAAAACTTTAGAAATCAAAATGTTAATTAACGCAGTTAAAACGCTTAACACAAAGACTTTAACTGCCACTTAGCATCTTAATCTTCCATCCGGTACATCAGAGTAAAATATTGCCAAACCCACTTATTAAGACCGTTATTTTATATATATCTGTAAATTAACTTTTTCGAATAAATTATCTAAGTTCCATTTGTTTGACAATCAATCACAATTATCCTCAGCACGGAAACAGAAGGGCCGATTGGCCTTCGCCAACTTGCGTCATTTATGGCGTAGGCGAGATATCCATCTGCTGAACAAAGGACGAGTGTACTGCTCAGCAGTTTGCTCTGTCATAGTATATGGATGCGAAATATGGCAGGTAAGAGTCGAAGACATTCATGGGTTGCTTGTATTCGATTATAGATGTCTTCGAAGCATTGATCGTATATCCTGGGACAACGGAGTAAGCAATGCTGTTGTTTGGAAACGAGTACTAGGTAAAAATGGCTCGTTGATAGATCAGGTAGTGAAACTTCAGTTGAGGTGGTTGGGATATGTGTTACCAACGCCCAACCACAGACTACCTCGACGAGCGATGTTTTGTGGTGTAGAAATAGGTCGTAAGAAAGCTAGGGGTGGCCAAGCCAAAACATGGCACAAATCTATGAAATCACTGACAAGTGGACTGAGTCATGTTGGTAGGTATCGACCACCTGGTTGGGGCCCGCCTGACGATAGTAACCGGTGGCTGGAGACCTTGAACGACATGGCTCAAAATCGTTTGCGACGGCGCAGGTGCATTCCCTCTTTGTGTCCTCCGAAGTCCTGATCTTCTGAATTCCTCATCACCTCTATCTCTCTCCAAATTCATTTTAACTCAGTTATTCTTGAATGATTTAGAACCCTAATCTTGACCGTTACCGCTAATACTCCTACCATCTGTAGCGCTATGGGATTTAGACTGAAATCTTCGTGTCTGCACTGATGCATTGTAGCAACATGAACTTATGTGCTTACGTACAAAGTTCTACGTCTTTAGTTACTGACTGAGAGGTAGGAGTCTATACTTGTATTCAGTTCAATCCCGAAAAGTGACATATGCAGCTGCTGTGGCTCGTTACTTAACCTTTCGTGATTTCATGCTAAGCCGGGTTCAAATAAAGGCAGTGTATGTTACGTATTACGTTTGCTTACTTATCGACTGTTATAATCGGTTACCTCATGTTCATACTGTCTTTGCTCTTAACGCGAATTAAGAGCTGTCGTTGTATTCAGTGCAGTACAATTATTCGTCTGTGAGAATATCCGATGCTTCCAGGTCTCGGACTAGTAAACCATATGTGGAAATTTGTATCCAAAAGTCAAGAACTCACTGTAAGTAGTTTACCCCCGATGCCGAAAAACATAGACAAGATTTCAATCTGTTCAACCTCGAGCGCAGGTCTCAGAGAATGGTTTAGTTTAGGACCACGGCTCCCTGTTGGAATTAGGTTCTGTCTGCTAAGGCTTCTAAATTTGTTGTCGATTATTGAACTGTTGTAGTTTTGAACAGAGGTAATGCGCTCCCTGCCTGTTTGTCTTGACCTTTTACTTCTCGGATATCAGTGATGAACTGTGACATAAAGTCAAGGTGTTGGATCTCACAAGACGATTTTTGATTTCAGTGCATTAGTGAGTGGTTAGTGATCTGTGTAATCTACAGATTTCCTGCTTTGCAACATGTTTCGGAAATGGTTGATGGCTAGGTAGACTACGAGACTTCTTCGTCCAAAAGATTTATATCTGGTCTAGTTCGGCCCTGGCTATTTTAAGCTAATCAGGTGCTTGTGCCTAGTGAACCCAGATATAGCGGCTCCTGTTTTGTGACATGCCTCCAGCTTACCGATAGAGGGTTGTGGGTTGTGTCCAGTCAGGTGTGGAAATTCTGCCAGTATTTTAACGAAAGTTTTAAAAATAAAATAAGCAGTAATTTACTCTCAAATAAAAACATTTTACAAGATGCATGCCAATTTACAGGCAAGATCAAAATGTTAAAATTGCTAACAATTTTTCTATAAAACGTTGTTCAGTTACGCAAATACTTCACAAGGTACATTGGCTTCGTATAGAAGGCTAAATTTTATAACATAAAATATAAGATAATGTTTCGCACTCCGCAATGTACAATAAGATAGTTGGTGCGGGTTACGACGGTTACGGTACAACAAACCACTGCTGGCTGAGAACCAATGCAAGGTAAATTCAGGCCTGCATATCACAAGAACTGATGAGGTAAATGTGCAAAGATCTTGTTGTGATCCGTCAGATAATCAGTTTGCAGGCTCCTGGGTAAAGTAACCAAAACTTCGGCAATTATCAAGGTTAATATTTCAAGACTTTGATGAGGTTCTGAAAAAGAGATATAAAGGGAGAGGAGCAGAACAGAAAATATTGTTCACAGATGAAGGTTTTGTACCAGGTTCAGAGCAATGATAAGGCTTTGTGTGCCTTTTGTGCAGTATGAAGTTTCTTCGAGTGTCTCACGCCGTTTCTTAGTGTTGACTGGAGGTCACTAACTTTCAAAAAGGTCCACTAGGAGTATTACAAGACCCAAATCCGCTGCAGTAAACACTCATGATCTCCTCACGTGCTCGAGACCTACCCTTAACGTCCTCTGCCCAAACGTCGTTAAAATTTCACCCCTCCATATATTTATCGATCGTCGTTGTATCAGGTCTCTATTATAATCTTGCGCAGCAGCACAGTGGAGAGGGAGGGTTATTATTCAGGTCAACACATGTTTTACCGTTCAGAAAACGATAATACAAAATGCAACGCCTACATGAACTAGGGAAGTAAATATCCACTTTAGAAATGGTGTTTTAATCCTAAGTGATGTATTCGGCCACCCCATATCTACCTAACTTAGGCTTAACGGGATCGAATATCTGCGAGCAAGAAGTTGAGTAACGGATTGTAGACAGCAGTCGAGCGCCAGTAATCACCAACCAAACTATGTTAAAACCCTAATCTTGACCAAACACAACCTAATAGTAAATGGCCTAGCAACGCGCAACAGCAAATCTAAACACTAAGGAAAAAAGTTAGCAAAGTGAACATATCTAAAATCCTTGTGACATCATCCAACAGATCCCTCCTCGTCCAGTCAAACAACGCAGTACGTCCACGTCAACGTTTATCCCTGAGCACCAGCAGGAACAAAGTTAATCCATAGAAATACTCAAACTGGCATCATAAGTTTATTCAATTGCATTGTATGTAAATCTGATGTATACAAATTAAGGATACTTTCCAAACAATCCATCGGCTGTATGTCTAAAGATTGTCGAATAAGAATCCGACCTCATGAATTAGATCATTTAGGTAGTCATGTTTATCCAGAAGTCGGCAACGATATTATTGATGACACCCATACTGCTTGTCAAGTACAGGCTTGCCTCTTGTATTAAATACAAATTCGCATGATTTTCTACTTTTCCTAACTCTGGTGCCAGCATAGTTCAGGAGCTGAGCCTCCCAAAGCATGATCCGGTCCTGTCCCATGACCTTGATCGTGACCATTTTTGTTATCTGCTTTTCCGACTCAGCTGGACCAGCTTGTGACATAAAATACTATTCTATTTTTATAACTTATGGATTCTGTCGTCTACTGTGGTGTTATGCATTCGCATACCCTTGTGTCTCGTTTTCATGTATATCCTATCACTGATTTTAGCGACGTTCTCTATGTTGGCATCACTATCCCGAAAGGCGATTGTTTACTGCATATATAAGATTAGTCGACTGAGCCACAACTGATAGAATATGCGTATGTCTACCTACCTGACCCTATTATGCTTCTCATGTGATCTTTTAGCTGTGATGGAGTCCTATCTTCTATTCGCATTTGCTTGGAAGGCTGTTTGGCCGCTTGTTGTTCGATTAGCGAGGCGGACTATATCACATCCTTCTTTAATAGGTCGTATCTGCATCTTGTTTAGCTAGAACCTCTCGTACATTGTTGGCTACTTCATTCGGATTCACTCAGCATGCGTGGCCGAATTCATCTTGCTGTAGGTGAATATGGTTAGCTAAAAAGTAATTTCCTGGCGTAATAATTCGAAGTTATGGGTTGGTGACCCTGAAACGAGGAATGGAAAGATTGAGGGACCTTACCGACAACGTTTGTGGAAGACTTAGACTGTCGTTATCTGAAGATATGTTTATATGCAATGCTTGGTATACAAATAAATTAACTTATATATAAGGTAAGGAAATAAAATAGATGATAATAATAGTTCTGATAACAAAAGATAAAACATTATAACACGGGACAGAATTACTGAACCGCAGCAGTATAACAGTTGTTATTAATGGTTGTTAATATTGTCAAAATATGTTCTACAACGTTTATGAAAATAATTTATTTGCGAAAAATTGCAATGATAATAATCCGCAATAGTACATATAATTCACAGTAATAACTCATCGAAATGGGTTATGTTGATTTTTGATTTTGACCGACTCGTAGAAAGCTGAGTTACGTTCTTTCGTCAAGGTCACCAATTCTATGGTGGCTGGTATTCGATATACTCTTATACTCTGTTCACTGCTCTTCCTGCTAACCGTTACTGGATAACGCCCAACGATGAATAAATCAGAAGACGAATAAGAAGCATTGGTTACGTTTATAATCGCACCACACACAGATCACAAAACCACAAGCACATGAAGTGAAAACGATATGCGAGTGCCAAAGAGCAAGCGAGTGAGCGAGTGAATAGGACAAAGATGTATATGTATATATACATAGGAAAACGAATTAGTTGTCACGTCGCTTAAGTGGCTGCTACTAAAGCGAGAAGAAAAAAATATGCATGTCAGCAGTAAGCAATTCTCAAGCCTAAATGCCCATACAAGAGCGATAGTGCGGCTAAGTTATCCCTAAGACGATAGCTTTGTTTGTTAAATAAATTAATCAAAGGGCTTAAACAGATTAAACAATCTGAAACGTGCTATAAGCACGATTAACTATACAAGGAATTAATCTACATGAGTCATGTTACGTAATGAACTTTATTTACACAGGATTTGGAATTCTCTCAAACGCTAAATCATCGTGACAGTATAATGTCATTGATTATTCGTACTGCGTCACGCATCACTATGTTGGCATCACTTCCGTTCCTTGAAGGAAGGAGGTTATCGGACAGGGTGTCGCTGAAATTGAACCAAATTTGAAACTGTCTTGGTTTAACTTCATGAGGGAGATTATCAATCGTCCTGCAACAGTTAGGCTATCAAGTGCCAATTAATCCCATTGAATGGACGATGCCAAAATAAATCTCTGCTAGATATAACTCTAACGACTTAAAACGTCGCGCTCCCCACTGTTGGTTCTGAATTTACTTATTGAAATACTTGTTGTTGTTTTTGCTACATTTCGTGTTTACAAGGTCAGTGAATCAATCATTCTTTCTTTCGGTTTCTCCCAACTACGGTAATCTGCATGCTCCTGTAGTAAACAGGGTACTTTGTGATGAGGCGAAACTCAAGAAGCATTGGACAACAGCAGCATCACAAAAGTTTAATACCGTCTTTCTTCGGGATACTGGCAAACTCGACGAATTCAAGATAACCCTCAGCACTAAGTTCTAGCCCTTTCGCGATCTACTAGTTGAAGAGGAAACTACCATGGAGAACAACTTTAACATGACATGAAGCTTTGGGCCATCACAAGGAGTGGATACTCTAGACAAGATTCAAGAAAAGAAGAAGATAAAGACAAAAGTCAATAAATTCCGATCAGTACAAATGTCAAGAAAGTTCTACTTTATGGAGCGGAAACTTGGAGAACTGCGAAAGCCATCATCCAGAAGATACAGGTGTTTACTGACTGCTGTTCACGCAAAATACTTCGAAACTGTTGACCAGACTCTACCAGCAACAACCTACTGTGGGAAAGAACGAAACAGATTCCAGCGGAGGAAGAAATCAGGAAGGAACGCTGGAAGTATATGAGACACTGTGGAAAGCACCCAACCTTATTGCGGGGTCAGCCCTAACTTTGAACCCTCAAGGTCGAAGGAAAAGTGTTAGACTACTGCACATATTGTGCCGAGAGCTGGAGTCAGACATGTGAAGAAGGAATAACAGTTGCGTATAACTCAAGAGGAAGGCCCGGAACAGAGTTGGTTTGAGAATTCTGGTCTGTGGTCTGTGATCCATTACGGGTAACAGGCATCATACGAGCATATTAGGTACTTTGCGCCGAATTTAAATTGCTGCGTTGTAACACATTGCGGAATTTACTAACTTCTAGTTTCGACTATCAGTTTATCTTGACCTCATTCTTGTTTTATTTCTCATCGCTATAAATTACCTTCGCTAATAAATGTAAGTGCATTCTGTATGCTTACCGAATCGTTGGTTCACCTATTCTCTTGTCCTTTCCTCCTCCAGATAACCTCTTAGGCTTCTACTCACACTGCCCCAGCACGCAAGTTACCTTCTGTTTAAACGTAGACTTACCAAAGACTTAAGATACCGCGTCATATAGCTTTTGTCATAACGGAATAGTAATTGAAAATACACGGTTATTGAAATGCTCTAACGTAATAGGAAATTTTATCACGAATTCAAAGTACTGAATAATCTGAATTACCAGACAACTGATTTTGAAGCAGATCGTATAATAAAGTGTTTGTTATGATTCGATGCATAGTCAGTAGTGTTTATTAAAGCTAGGAAATATCCTTCCTTTCCAACTCTTAAACCTCAGCTGTAAATCTCTAGTTTTTAAATAGTAAGTTTGAATCACTGCACCATAGCTAACGTCACTTCCTCATGATCATTATGAAATCCCTAGCCCCTGCGTGAGAAACTAAACTCTGAAGTTCAACTTTTAAGACTGAATTGAAACTTATTAGCATCAAAGCTAGCTTTAATTGATGACGAAAACTCTCTAAGGTGATAACCGTAATTCATACCACTAGCCTGTCTTTAATCGGTGAACTTAGCCTTTTCCTTTCACTAGACGGAATAACCCAACTTGTGAGGGTTGATTATCCAGATGAGAACGGTTATTCCACTGATTTTCAGCTGTTAAATGTTTTATAACTAGGTAGTGTTTCCTGATTCGCTGATTTGTCTCTCAGGCTGGTTATCATCTTATGCTTTCCCCATCTTGAGCTCGCTGCATCCGAGCAACACTGCTTGCAAAACCACACGCATGTCTATTACGTCTCAGTAGCTGTAGTTGTTATTGCGAGCTTCGTAGCACCACCCTTTTCACTGGTCACATTCCATGACGTTGCCCACACGATAGTGATAACCTGGGCCTTAGCAATTACTGTTGTTACATTGACCTGTCATCGCTCAGAATTTTTTAAATAACTTAAAAAAATCCACATAGGCAAGAGCTAGCCTAAAAGTCAGGCTAAGATTCGAAGACGAACCTTGAACCATTCGGTTTGAACATTTCGGAAACCAGAAAAACTGTTGCACTCAGTAAGATTACTGATGCAATAAACAATACTCTTCATTCATTTAAAGTGAACACAGTCGTTTCGTTAAAACCAAGTTTCGATAGAAATCAAAAAAAAAACACATTAGATTCGTTTGAACACTGGATAGCTGCTTTGTTGCATTTGCGTAAACTTTGCTTGCATCTTAATGGATAATTAAATCATGTAGATTGGTAACATCTCACCTTAAGACTTTCCATCATGTTGAATAGCTGACGACGACTGTCTTTGGGAAGTATCACTGCTTTATGATGAGGATCTATCATTTAAATATATTATCTTTCCGGTTGAGTTGTGGTTTATCACTTACCCATTGCAATCAGCTCTCCCATTGCCATTCATGATTTCCAACCATGGTCTACATTGTGTGAAATTTCATAAGCATAAAGCTCTGGAATTCATTATTTTTGATACACCTTCTGATCCTTGCGGTCGATGAAGACATCAGCTTTCTTTTAATAATTACGATATTACTGTAGCCCAGTTATAAACAATCAGTATCATACTCGAGCAAAGTCGGCTAAATAATTTTCTTTTTCAAATTTAAGATTGTAGTATTTTTATGTATGTAACTGTCTGGTTCCATTTTTGCCATTCTTCTCTGGGCCGTTTTGCAAGATAAAGCTTCAAGAAACTAATATTTTTATTGATATTAGCTTGACTAGCTCCTCATGGTAAACAAGCTCTTCTCTTATATCAAGGCATTGATTTTGGCCAAAAGATCTACCTTTGGTTTTATCACAAACCTCTAACGCTTGTGAAATAATGTAAAGCATGCACTTAACTTCTATCCCAAAAAGCACGATTAGTAGTTTAGGAAGTTAGCAACCCAGATAAAATCACAAAAAGAAGGAGACCTCAAGGGTTTTTCATGAAACGAATTATTTAGAGCTTAAAATACTGAAGAATATTAGATTGAGATCACTGGTTATGTTCTAAATTTGAGAGTCAGTCAGTCAGTCAGTTGCAACGTAGAACTTCGTACGTATGTACATAAGTTCATGTTGCCATACCACATTATTAGCACAGAGACGCAAATGTCAAATCAAATCCCATAGTGATAAAGATAGTATAGGCATTAATGTTAATAAAGAAGACTAGAGTTCGAAGATATTATTCAAAAAATATAATTCAGTGAGATAAGATTATAAAGACAAAGGCAGAGGTGCTGGCTAATCCAGAAGATTAGGATTTGAGAGAGCTCAAAGAGTGGATGCACCTGCGCCATTGCAAACGATTTTGAGCCATGTCGTTCAAGGTCTCTAACCATTGATGACTTTCGTTTCGCGGACCCCAACCAGGTAGTCTACATCTACCAACATGACTCAGTCCACTTGTCAGTGACTTCATGGATTTGTGCCATGTTTTGGTCTGGCCGCCCCTAACTTTCTTCCAACCTACTCCTACACCACAAAACATAGCTCGTCGGGGCAGTCGGTGGTTAGCCATACGTAACACATGTCCCAACCACCTCAACTGATGAAGTTTCACCACTTCATCTATTGATCTGCCATCCTTACCTAGTACTCGTTTCCTAACAACAGCATTGCTTACTCGGCTGTCCCACGATATACGAGCAATGCTTCTTAAACATCTATGATCGAATACTAGTAACCTACGAACATCTTCTACTCTTAACGGCCATGTTTCACAGCCATATAAGAGAACAGAACGAACTGCTGCGCAGTACACCCGCCCTTTGGTTAGCGAACGGATATCACGCCTACGCCATAAGTGACGCAGGTTGGCAAAAGCCAATCGAGCCTTCTGTATCCGAGCTGAGATTTCGTCAGTCACCAGACCGTCAGCACTGATGAGACTCCCAAGATAAGTGAAGCGGTCTACACACTCGACTACTTCACTCCCTATCACTAGTTCAGGTGCCGATGAAACCCAGTCTTGAAGCAACATTTTGCATTTCGAGGGGGAAAACCGCATCCCGAACATGCTCGCATTGTTGCTTATGGTAGTCAGAAGACTCTGCATTTTGTCAGCGTCTTCACCGAATAGAACTATGTCATCGGCATATTCTAGATCAGTAAGCGGCTTTCCTGGTAGAAGGTCAACCCCTGAAAAATCTGACGAGCTTAATGTTAACTCTAACAGGATGTCTACGACAAAGTTAAACAAGAATGGAGAGAGTGGACAGCCCTGACGGACACCACTTGATGTAGAGAATTCAGATGACAGTTCGCCATATGCTCTCACCCGACCAGTGGTGTTCGAGTAGAGTGCTTGTATAAGGTTAATGTACTTCTTTGGTACACCTTTCAATGACAGACACTGCCACAGAACCTCACGATCCACTGAGTCGAATGCCGCCTTAAGGTCCAGGAACACGACTATCGTCGGACGTCTAAATGTGTGTCTGTGTTCCAGGACCTGTCGTAGTGTGAAGATGTGGTCTATACAACCACGTCCAGGTCGAAAACCAGACTGGTTTTCTCGAGTCTGCTCTTCGCGAGCTCTAGTTAGACGTCTAAGTATAATCGAGGCTAACAATTTAGAAACTATATTAGTTAAACTTATTCCCCTGTGATTGTCACAAGAGGACTTCTGTCCTTTCTTGTAGATTGGGACAATTAGCGACTGGGACCAGTCAGATGGGATTACGTCCATTTCCCAGATTCTACCTAGGATCTCGGTCAGTCTAACCGTTAAAATTGAACCACCATACTTAAACATCTCAGGGGTAAGCCTATCAGGACCTGCCGCTCTACCTCCTCTTAGATTTCCTATAGCTTTCTCAACTTCATATAGACTGGGAGGACTTAAATCGATTTGCCATTCAGGATGACTGGAGATCGTGGGCAACCGAAGTGTGGCTGAAGGCCAGTTGAACTGATCCCTAAAGTGTTCTGCCCATCGGTCCAGCCTCCTAGATTGAGAATGGATAATAAGACCATCCTTTTCCGAGATAGTCTCACTTACATTCGGCTTCCTAATACCGGTTTCTTTAATAAGGCGGAAAAGTTGTCTAGTGTTGCCTATCGCCGCTGCCTTTTCCATCGCTTTTGCTTTCGCCACCCACCACTGTTCACGGTCGTTACGTAGGCTTTTTATAAGTCTGCGCCTAAGCTGACTACGCTCCTCATCATGTTCAGAGTCAGGTGGGATGCGTTTTCGAGCATCCATCAGTTCGGTGGATGCGACTGATATCCACGGCTTCATCCTAGCCTTGTGGTTTACCTTGCTAGCAGATACCATTGCTGTTTCCACAGCCTTCTTGATATCATTCCAACCTGCTTCAGGATGGGAATCACTTGCATGGCCGCCTAACTGTTTTTCTAGTTCCTCCTGAAATATTTTCTTAGCTTGATTATCATCAAGTGAAGCCCTAAGAGGCTTTCTTACGGTGTCTTTCCTACGTCCAGCAAGCCTCAAACAAATACGTGCTCGCACTAGGGCATGATCTGAATCTAAACATGTGCCCCAGAACGAGCGACAGTCCTCTATCGAACCCCTCCATCGGTGGCTGATGGCGATATGATCTAGTTGTGTCCAACGTTGAGACGACTTCGGGGGTCGCCAGGTCAAAAGGTGTTTTTCCTTATGCTTAAAATTAGTGTTTGCTAGAAATAGTTGGTTATCTGAGCACAGTTGCAACAGACGGTCGCCATTGTCTGTTCTTTGAGCCGCGAGACCGTAACATCCACCTAGGTGTCTTTCATTTTCACTTAGTCTACCTACTTGTGCATTGAAGTCACCAGCCATTATAACTATATCAGAGCGCTTAACTTTTTGGAGGAGGTCCGAAAGCTTTCTGTAAAACTCATCTTTTACATCATCTGGGCTGCAGTCAGTGGGGGCGTAGGCTGATATGACGAAGAGGCAACGGCGAGTGTCCCTATCTTTCCGAGTCCTTACTGTCCCGTTGAGTCGGACGGCGCACAAGCGACTATCTACAGGGATCCAGTCAAGGAGAGATTGTTCTGCCCTACGACTCAATGCTATACCTACACCGGCGAGGCCCCTAGAAGCAGCATCAGGGCTACCGGATACACGAAGGGTAAATCGAGCTGCTTCTTTATCTTGACATGGTGAGGTCAAATGAGTGATGCTACTCGGATCCTGTATGCGCGTTTCCGAGACGCAGCACACATCGATGGAACGAGATTCTAAAGTCCTAGCTAATGATGCCTGTTGCCCTATTTGACACAATGTCCGTACATTGAATGCTCCAACATGTAGTTTGGAACGGGGTTTAAGGAGACCAGGAACGACGTTTCGCAAACTCGCATCGTCTGCATTAGCTGTGCACTGTAATGAATGAATGTGAGAAGGGTTAGTTGTGGAGATAAGAGAGGTATTAGGGAATGTAGGAAGGATTTGATTTTGAACAATTTTGTCTCGTGTGCTGTTACGGGTATGAGGGCGGTTATCACTTCCCGGCTGCCCACACCGTGGAAGGTTGTTTCTTGACGAACCTGAAAAGGAAGATGGATTAGTGTTGGTGCGTGACCGCAGAGTCCAAGGGACGACTGCTTGAGGCCGGTCACGCACGGCCTTTTTATGAGACGTTGTTTGAGGATTAGCTCCGTTCTTAAAGGCCCTTAGTGGGCACCCTTACCCAAGGAGACGGAAATCCGTGAGTTAGGGGAGGTGTGACATTTTTAGGGTCGACCTTTTCTAACCCTTCCTTCCTTGTGAGAAGGCAGCATCGCTGCAGATGCTGGTTGTCCGAGGGAAACACCTTACTGCTGTCACACCCCTCTGCAGTCAGCAGTACGACTTCGCCCTCAGACCTTGAGTAGCTGCTTTTAGTCTCATCGTTCTCCAATCGACCTGCCTGGCATGGTAGGACCTGCAGGAACATGTGTTCCAGCCAGTATAGCTCGGTTGGGTCATCACGATAGGCAAGCCCGACCACCACGTCAAGGTAGCAGCTTCGGTCGGGTCTAAATTTGAGAGATTTACATTATTATCTTTCATTTATTGTAGTGTTTCATTATTAAACGAAGTACGAAGCCTACAAAATCTCATTATCAGACCAGTCGTAAAATGGTTATTGATCCTAGCAACAACTGAAGATCACTGAGTCTACTGAATTTGGAATTAACTATTGTGTTCAGATGATACATATGCATTCAGTGTATTGATGCTTATATTCTCTCACTAAGATCTAAGCTGTCCACGCGTAGCTTTCCATAATGTCAGTCATCATAGTTGGAGGCGGTATAATTGGTGTTTCTACTGCTTATTATCTATCAAAGCGAAAAATTGACACACTAATCATTGAAAAGGAACAAATTGGATCTGCCGCATCTGGGCGAGCTGGGGGATTCTTGGCTAAGGACTGGTGTTCTCATTATGAAATGGATGTTTTAGCCCAAAATGGTTTTGATTTACATATGGAATTAGCAGATGAGTTCGGTGGTGCATGTGATTATAGACGTGTTAACACATACTCCATATCATTATCTCCTGGAAAATCTTCTGGTTGTTCAGAATCACCGTCCTGGATCGATGCGAAAGTCAAGAGTTGTTCATTGATAGGTGATATTACAAATACTGCACAGGTTTGTTTTGCATTCTTCTCCTTGTCAATAAAATATTAGCGAACTGCCCGTAAAAATGAACTAAATACCAAACTGAACTAACATCGAATGATTAGTGGTTACTTATTTATTTTTAGTTTGATATAAACATTGGTCAGTCAGTCAGTCACTCACAACATTGGTACTAAGAGGTAGCTAAATATATATGCGCCACAAAAATTACCGAATTTGTGAGTAGGCTCGGATACTGCCAAGACGCTTTGACTGAGGTAGGTTGTTTTTCTAGGAGTCGCAACCCGAGCGTTTGACCTAAAATCTAATCCACAAGGCAGTAGAGCAACGTATGGAAATGTAGTTTCATGGTAGCTGGTGACCAACGATATGTTCATACACCAGTCGTCCAATCAGGATCCTGAAGCCTATGTATACCATTAGTTTGAAATCAGTTTTCCAACTCTAGTTAGATCCTCATTACACACTTTTGTTAACAACAGCCCCTCCACGAGACATTATTCAGTAGGACTCCCTTGTCAGTGGCTATATACGCATAACCGTGTCATAGCTTTTGGAGAGGGAGAGCGGACTCTCTCCAGTTGAACTGTTAATCAAAGTATTCTACTCACCGTCCTAGACATCTGATTTAAGATTGGACCACAGTTCTATCTCATTATTCAACAATACTAATAAAAACTTAATTTCTTACATCTGTCTAAGTAGCTGTAAAGTATTAACTATCACCGCTTTCTTTACTTATGTTACGGTTATGTACTACTGCCTACATTCATTGTATAAACTTTCTTCCAGTGTATTTCTTACCCTGGATCCTCATCGTTTTTGGATCATATTAGGATAGTTTCCCAAGCATCTCTTATCTCAGTAGAAACTCTCAAAACCCACTGTTCCTTCCTAACCTTTCGGTTTATGTTATCGACAGTTATAATCTTTGTATTAACAGTTCTTTGGACATAATACCAAACTATTTTGCATTGAATGTCATACTTATGGTTGACTAAGTCTTTGGATAGTTTTTCCTTAAAATTACTTAATGCATCTTCCGAATGAAGTCGAAATAGTCTTCTTGTTTTTATTTTCTTACATCCTAAATGATCATAAATGCATGCTCGCCGTAGAGCTATGATTGAAGATATGTGACACGAAGCATCATTTCGCAACCGAACCTTTCTATTAGTCACTGGTGGAGTTGTGATCTATCATTGTCGATTATTGACTTGATATCTTAAGTCGCCACGTTAAAATGTTTGTAATTGATTATTAGGTTAGTTTTAGTTATTATTTAAAGTGTTACAGATATTCAGCTCTAATAAAAGTCTAGAGATCAATAATACTTTTAGCAGTTAACCGATCACATTCTATGAATACAGTCCTAAGTCTTAGGTAAAGGAAATAAAAAAAATCAAATTTAAATCGTTGAGGAGTAATTCCATTAACTGAATAAATATTTTCATTTTAAAAAAACAATTTATACTCAGAACATTTTCGAAAACTCTAGTAATTACTTTCTCTTTGTATAGCTTCATGTTAGTACTATGTCTCTTCCTCTCATTGGATAAGTCATTGAATTGGATTTTACGTCAAAAATATTTGCTGAAGTTTAGTTGAAGGAATTTTGTACAGATTATTTTAATTTATCGGTTATTTTCTTTATGGATTGGTCTTAGCAGAGGTATTATTAAAACCGAGAGAGTATTGAACAATTGTTTCGTCCGCGACGACACGAATCGAACCCTAAGCCTCCGTGTTTCGCAGCAAACGCTTATGAGAAACACTAGGTTGGTTTCCGATGATACAATTTGTGATATAGTATGACGAATATTCATTCGTACTAGTGATAATTGTTTCGCCTAAACATGCTTGATCTTAGTAAACATGTCCTAATAAATTCAAGATTATATTTTTATGCAATTCTTTTATAATTTTATCACATGTGTCAGCAAACTATAAAAATAAAAAAATTGATAGTATTATTTAATTCATTCCGTTACCCTTATTAGGTGCATCCTAAAAAACTCACAGAGGAATTATTTCGACGTGCTCAATATTTAACGAATCAAGGAACAAAAGTAAAAATTGCTCGTGTTGTAGGATTAGAATTTTCAAAATCAAATACATCGACTTCTGAAGTTATCGGTGTTCGGGTAACAGAATCCTCTTCTTCAAACTATGAAGTTATCCCTGCCAGTTTAGTTATACTTACTACAGGACCATGGTCAAAAGAATCTATTAGTTGGCTTCCGTCAGGATGTTTAAGTTCTAACAAATTTCATGGAAGACGAGCTCATAGTATTATATTGAAACCGAAAGTAGAAAATTCACCAATAGATGCTAAATGTTTGTTTATGGATTATCGAAATTCTGAATTTTCTTGTTCACCTGAAGTTTATCCAAGACCTGATAATACAGTCTATGTATGTGGTCTTGGTGATGATGCAGTGAGTTTGATTATTTTTTCTTTGCTTTACGAACTCATATTATTATATTCATACTATTATAGTTGCGATTAAAAACTGAAGTCATACAAAAATAAGCGAAATTACATTGGATTTGTTTATCGACTTCTCACTATTGAATTACTCTTGATGAACTCAGCTTACACTTTCACAGACTGAGAAAACGAAGTTTATTACTAGGATCAAATGAGATTTTCATGTTTTTTTTCGAAAGTCTCTGTTTTTTATTTGAATGTTATCAAATAAACTTATATGAACTTTTGGTGCTTTACAGATCTGGTTTAAAGTCAAGATTTTCCAGCTGCTACAGATTGACTCCTATATTTTCATCAGCAGACAGTATTAATACATATCTACGCTACAGAATATCTTTGTCTCTCTATATATATTTTGATTTTTCTCTTCGATAGTTAAATATTACTACTAATAACTTCACATAATATATTTAAACTTTATTATTACTTTTAGCCTGTACCATCTTCAAAGGATCAAGTTGAAATTGACATTTGGCGTTGTAATCGTTTAAAAGAAATAGTCACTAGTGTAGTTCCATCATTAAAAGATGCAGAAATGATAACAGAATCTGCTTGTTACTTACCACTGGTGTATGATGGTTATCCAGTTATTGGTCGAATTCCTAATTTATCTAATGTTTATATTGCCACAGGTAATTCTTGTTGGGGTATTCTAACTGGACCAATTACTGGACGACTGTTATCAGCTATCATTTTAAAAAATAATCCTAATTTAAAACAGAGTACAAATTCTAATGTTACTGATCAAATGAAATTAGATGAAGAAAAAGTTCAACATAGTTTATTGCAAAAACCCGGTATTGAATTATTTGATCCAGTAAGACTGATAAAATAAACAATTATTTGGTTTTATAATATTTTAAGAACAGAATGTATTCTTGCCTTTTTTTTTCTACTGTTCTATCTTTCTTTTTTTTTTACTATTTCACTTTGTTGTTAACATTCATCTTATTTGATGTTTTAATTTTATTCAACCAGTACCAGTTATTTCTCATGATTAAAATTTTTCTTTAACATAGATTATTGTGATCAAAAATACACAGATATATCATTATTCTTGTCTAATAAAAAATTTATCATAGGTCATCCGCCCACATGTCAGTATTGTGCTTATTTGTTTGAGTTTTTTACAAGTGTATAATATATCCCTTTGAAGTAGTAGTATTCGAACATTCAACAGGAACCGAGAATGATGTAATGAGATGCAAGATCTTGAACGAAATGACTAGGAATCAAGTACTGTATTTGTTAAGTCATCACTTCTACTAGTCAATTAAAAGCAAATCGTTTTAAAATACTCTAGATTTATATTTCGAATTGACTAGTGTTCATCAGAAATAAACCTTTAGGAAGATATGAACATTACATCACCCTATTTTTATGTCAAAAGTGAGTCATTTCAGCATGAAAAGTTAATTATTTAAAGCATACTTCTCTCCGATTCAGGAGTGTAAACGCGCTTAAAATCAATACTAAGGACAATGAAATGAGGTATTGCATAGCACACCTCGATATCTGACTTTGCATTTCATTTTAACGGTGTAATGAGGCGTATTGGATAACACTTGTCAACGTTATAAGTTGGCCAGAACTGTGAATACTGGACAAATCATTCTAAATTATACTAATTAACGATATTCTTTTATGTCACAACTCATCTTAGTAACTACGATGGCAAGAATTTACACAACTCTACATTGTCTCAGATCCATTTCAATTAATTCAAAGCATTGCTAATGTAGATGATGTTATGCTAATTCTGTATCCCTATATACTTCAGTGAACTTTATATACAGAAAACTAAGTGTATTTTTAAAGAAATGCAAATTCACAACCTTCAATATTTAATTAAAATGTAATAACAGGATTTCCATATCATTGATATATGATATTACGTTGTATAATTTACTAAAAAATCTTTATCTGCTGATTTAGTTTCATTTAGTGTTTTGGTGTATAATTTAAATGAAATAAAACCAATAATGCATGGCGTACACATACACAAATCTATTTTGTCCCAAGAGAAATAAGGTAAATATCTTTTGTTTGTTTGTTGCAACTATATTTTAGTGACTTATGTTTCACTTAATATTATCAAATTTATCATTTAAATTGGTTTGATTGACTACAAATTTATTGACCATTGATCATAAATCAACGGTGAATGAAAATTTGTTATCTATACTACCCATTATGCGAAGGGAATCATTAGAAGATTGTCTTGTGCCAGACTTCACATATACCTCGGTCTAGTATTCTTGGGTACCTTGCTTCACTTTACTGGTTCCTAAATCAAAATACGATTTAAACTGGAATGTAAACATGTTCCAAAGCGAATAGAAAGTTAAAATAATATAGTAAAGAAATGTCACTACATTTTATTCGTACACGGAAGACTTCCAGTCTTCTCAGCTCATCCACTAACTCTGACCAATTAGAAATGAATGGAACATTCAACGAGTTTATATTTATACGTAGTTTTATTTGAAAAATGCTTTAATTAGGTCTCTGTTTCGTTGACACGTAATCGTGAAGAAGAAAACACGGCCGTGCAGAATAATTCGAGTAGTATCGAATCAAATAATCGCTTGGTATTACTGATGAATTGAATTCACAAAAGTAACCTGTGGTAACCGACTATTATAAACTATCAGAAGCGTCAGATATTTTTATAACTTCTATCGCACACCTTGATCAGAATCGTCGAATCAAGATTTTAAGTGTTAGTTGTTTGAGGAAATTGACCAGCGAAAGTGCTTTTCTTAATCCCAAGAAAAGTATTGTTTAAATAGTAGAAATTCGTATCGTCTATGTTTCATTTTGTAAAGTGCCAAGTAGATTTTAAATCGATGATTGCATTTACTGTTTCCAAAGTTATTTTTTTTATCGATTTCATAATTACATTCAAATATGGTTGGATGAAACATTTAGTGATAAAATCAATATGAAACTTACTGATTTTCTGAATGAGTATGACTATTTGTGTTTGATGTTTGACTTTGAGATTACTTAATCACTTAGGTTTTTACAACATCATACTCTGAGTAATGTTTCTTCTTTAGCTGAAATATTAAATACTATTCTCATCTTCAACATGTTTATTGATGCATTGATTTCGTTTTATACACTATAAATCAATCAATCATTTATCCGCAATGTCTGGTAACTGATTATCGCTAACTTTTGGATTTCACAACATGCTTCTTTTGCGTTAATTGTTCATACGTTTTCTGAGATCGCTTTCGGATATTGATCTCATCTCATCATATTAAGTCTTTTCTTAATTGCATAAAATTAATATTCACTTTCGATGCACACTCATTCCAGCTCCTTCAACAGTGAAAAGTAATATCGTAGAAGCAAAAGGTTGATATTTATTTAATCTGAGTCGATCAGTATGATATTGCAAATATGTATCCACACTGTAAGTTGTTGATTAACTGATGTTAAATATTACTCTGTTCAGATTGTTACTCTGACTGTAAATAAATCATAGAAAATGTAGTGTATTCAAATATCAGTTTGATTTATTTTCGGGGTTAGATAAATCTATATCACCAGTTTTTTGTGTCCTCAATACACGTCAGATTTTGAGTTTTATTAGCTAGAATGCCTGTGATTTAATAGGCGTTTTAGTATAAGTTTTATATATTTGATGATTTTATTTCGATCATTACGAAATGTTGGAATTATTTAAAATACACTTTCTGTGATTATTTCGAATACAGTTTTTTTACACAAAGCTACTAATGTTAAAACTGTGTAAGAAAAATAAGCATACAAAGAGTTGAGATAAATGAAATAATCATTGGTCTATTTAAATCTTGTCTAACTGAACTTAACATTGATGATCAAGGAAGGTTAAAATGATCGTTTTTTTAATGCATAGGGTTAGGTTTATTTGTATTTATGCTGATGACTTTGTATACGTAACTCATGCAGTATATCTGTTGGAATCCAGTCAACAATGAGAAAAGCCTTATTTAAATCCATCTTATTTCTTCGGTTAATCAAATAAGAAAGTATGGAACACTTATCCATTCATATCTGTCATTTATTTAATCGGATAAGATACTTTTATTATTCATTTTAATAATTATAGTTTTCATTTTCAGATAGATGGAGATATGAATTTCTTCTAGAACGATTCTTATCTTATACACTTGATTTTTAAATAGATTCTCAATAACTTTGATACTTCTATATCAGGAAGAGTACTGGCGTATTAGTAAACTCATAATTCACAGTCTTCTTTATCTACATTCACTTTTGGTTTGGTCATGGTAATTGTATTTTTCCATTTTATGGTACAGTATTATCTGGTTTACCCGTATATTAATTACGTCTGTTTGAATTATAAATATAGCGGACGTTGTATATGAACTTCAGGACTGAGGAGGTGGGCTAGAGAACATAATGGGTCAATAAGAACTTAGTGACTGTCTCAAGGTTATCACTGCTAGTCGAGGCGTCTGATTGGTCAAGTTAGGGTTGTAATGCTATAGAATAAATAGGAGACTAGATTAGAATCAGGATTGTAAACTGGGCACGTTATGATGTTCAACGGTTACATACACAATTGATACTCTCATTCAAATAATTTATGCGTAAATTATAGTTCAACCATGCAAGTGACTGGATTGATACTACAAGTGAGAATGTTAGGATCAGGAAAAAACATAAATCCATCAAATTATTGTTTCTATTGACTGAAGTTTGAAGTATTTTGATGCATCTGTACTTCAGATATGCTCGTTGAAACCAAAAGTTACAATTATTCAATCAACGCAATTGGTAATTATATTTAACATCTGGAGAGTCTCATCAGTGCTTATGGCCCTGTGACTGACGAAATCTCAGCACAGATACAGAAAGCTCGATTGGCTTTTGCCAACTTTCGCCAATAGTGGCGCAGGCGAGATATCCATTTGCTAACTGACGGTCGAGTCTACTGTGCGGCAGTTCGCTCGGTCCTACTGTATGAATGTGAAACACGGACGGTAAGAGTAGAAGATATTCGTAGGTTACTGGTTTTCGATCATAGGTGTCTCCGAAGTATTGCTCGAGTATCGCGGGACAACCCAGCAAGCAATGCTGTTGTTAGGAAACAGGTAGTAGGTACGGATGGCAGGTCAATAGATGAAGTATTGAAACTTCATAAGTTGGGGTGGTTGGGACATGTCTTACGTATGTCTAAGCACCGACTGCCTCGATCAGCTATATTAGGTGGTGTAGGAGTAGGTTATAAGAAAGCTAAGGGTGGCCAAATCAAAACATGGCATAAATCCATGAAGTCACTGACAAGTGGGCTGAGTCATGTCGACTACCTGGTTGGGGTCCGCGAGAAGAAAGTCACTGATGGTTACAAACCTTGAATGACATGGCTCTAAATCGTTTGCAGTGGCGCAGGTGTTTCCATTTATTTTATTCTCTCAAACTCTAACCTTCCGAATTCCTCATCATCTTTATATTTTCCTAAAGTTATCTCAATGAATTACACTCCTCGAATAATATCTTCGAACCCTAACCTTCTCCATTACCGGTAAAACTTCTACTATCGCTACCACTATTGGATTTGTACTGACAGTGGAGTCTCTGTGCTGATGTGGTATGACAACCTGAACTCATGTACGAAGTTCTACGTTATAAGTGACTGGCTGACTGTAACATTTATTGTTATTTCACACAAATCCAAAGTGACTAAGCAGTGTTAGCTTTCAAAGATGGATTGTAGTCAAATGTTTTTATTTTGATTAATCAGTTGTAACCTGTTAATTAAAGGGGAAATCGACAGTTAATTTATCCATGCATATGGAGTTAGTTTTTCCCATTCTGATAAATTTACTTTCCCATAGTTTGCTTACCATTGGCTTTACATAGATTACTTACTACTTAATAATTTTTCAGTAACATAAACGTGTGTTGAGTAAAAGTTCTTTTCAATGTAAATATCAGTCATTATCCTATCAACCTCGCTTTAATTAATCATTTTAATCAACTGAAATTAAATACAGCTATTATATACCCTATGAAATGATTCTGATTCCGTGCATACAAACGAGCTCGTTTTGAAAAATATGGTTAAATATGGTTTTTATCATTATAGTTCAGTTAATGTTGTTGTTACGATTTTTTTGCTTTTATTTTATTTTCTCGTCGTCACTTTTATTCTATGTGT